GCAACCTCAAACTCTGGGGCTTGAGTGCTCCTGCTCTTGCCTCAACCTTCCGTGCAGCTGGGACTACATGCACCCACCACAGTGCCCTGCTAGTGTTTCTATTTTTAGAAGAGACAGGGTCTCGCTCTTGCTCAGGCTGGTCTCAAACTCCTGAGCTCAGGTGATCTACCCATCTCGGCCTCCCAGAGTGCTGGGATTACAGGCATGAGCCACTGTGCCCAGCCTCGGTGCAAGTTTTGGAAATCTTCACAGATTTCCACAAAGTCTTGAGACAGAGCCCTAAGGGACATTCTTGCAGGACATTTGTGTTTATTTTTTACTTACAGATGATGTTAAATTTCTAACTTCTAAAATAATTTGTATGGGTATATTTTACTTTTTTTTTTTTAAGAGCATTATAATTTTTGGAAGATTATGCAGAGATTCAGTTTCAGCAGCTGGCCAGCAGCTTGGGCTGCATAGACAGCCTTTACATATACTGCTTTTTCTAGTCTCCAGCTGTCTTCTGATTTTCTAAGGTGGCTCTTGTCCCTTCAAGCAGAGTCATCACAGCTGTCCTTACTGTCTGTGTCTTGTAATCCCTGGATTGGAAGTACTCAGAGGCCCACTCCTCACCCATGCTGTCCTAGTATCCTCAAGCGTTTTGGGTAGAAAATATATTTGAAACAAGAATTGACTGAATTAATTTGAAGATTAGGATGGGAATTTTGGGATGATTGCCTTCCCAAGAGAAGTTTTGTTCTCTCTAGCAGGCGTCTGTGGGGGCCAGCAGTCAGGGACTACTCTAAGCCAAGTACAAGGCTTGACATTTTTTCTGGGCCCCTGAGCATAGCTACAAGTTTGTACAAGGGCTGGTTTGCTTTCCTGTACCTGGAGGCTTCATCTCCTGAGTAGGGGCCGGTAGTGATTTATAAGTGTTCCCTCCCTGGGGAGCCTGGGGAGGACAAGCAGCCTCACCTTCCCTCCACCCTTTGAACCTCGCCTGTCCTGGTCTTGACGGGCTCCTGGCAGCCAGCCACAAAGATGTCCGGGGAGTGTGGACCCAGCGACACACAGGCAGAAGTAACATCTGAGAGTGTTATACCTGAAGCAGGTGGAATAGAGAAACGCTAGCACACTGAGTCCAAAGTAAGCAAGCGTTCTTCATTGACAGCCTGGGCCCAGAGTGGGCTCACATCTCAAAGTCTCTCAACGCCTAGAAGCAGGGGCGGAAACCTTTTATAAGGGGCTTTTGGTAGGGGAGGGGGAGTCTTTAACGCAAGCTGAATTTCACAAGAGCCAACACTTGCTAAGGGGGGTGCTTACAAGGGGAGCTGGGGTTTCACAGGATTTTGCAGTTATTACTAAACTCTTTCAGCTGAGCTTCCTGTTTTAAAGGGGGAGTGTTGAACGCCCCTAGTAAAGTCCTTAGCACAGTGGTTCTCAACCTTCCTAATGCCGTGAGCCTTTAATACAGTACTGTGGGTCTCAACCCATAGGTCAAGAATCCCTGCCTTAGCAAGATGGAGTTAGGGCATAACAGTAGGACAGCAGACAAAACTCGGCCATGCCCATCTTTTTGACTGCTTGTGCCCTTTCTCTCCCTCTCACCCATGTTGCTGTCTCTAGAGCACCAGTTACAGCAGTGACTTGTTGGCACCTGCCATAACGCAGCCCCCAGCCCAGCGTGAGCTCACTTGTCCCAGGGGGCTACACTGTGACATTCGCCACAGCTCAGGCACCTTCCCTGAAATAGTACCAGGAAGGAAGCAGTGTAAAGAGACATGAAGGGTCTATATACACAATCATAGACCAACAAGCAGGAAACTACACAGGCTGCTACCATCCACTTTCCTGGAACTGGTCATGGTCACAATATTCTTCTTAGGTTACCCATCTCCTATGTCCTGTGTTCTCAGAATGCTGATACCCACCTGCTTTGGGGGGAGGGTATGTTGCAGGCTCAGACTTGGGGCCCACCTTGGTCTGCTATTCAGAATGGCTGTCATGGCAATACGGAACCTGTAGAAACCTGGCCTGAGTCTGTCTCACGGGCCCACTATATCCACGGCCCCGTGGAGGCTGCTCTCCCTGTTCTCATGCCCTCCTCATCCCATCGGAGTACACCTGCCAGCAGGGCAGGATTCTGATGCTGGCCACCTTGGCGTAAGGGCAGGGGAGGCCAGCTAGGAAAGGGACTCCCAGAATGTCCCTTTCCCGCTAGGTATCAGCCAAACAGAGGCAGCTTTAGAGGACCCAGAGGGCAGAGGGCCCTGCCAAAGACGTGCAGACATCATCACCCACCCTGCTTAGTCCTTAGAAAAGGCGAATGTGTGTGGAGAATGGAGGGTCACCCTAACCTCAGACAGACCCCAAGGAGCCCCTCTGACCTCTGCTCTAGCACGGCCCAGGGCTGGGGGCCAGGCCACAGAGTGGGCCGCTCGGGTCAGGGTGTGGGGGCTGGAGGAACAGCACAGTCTGTCTGTGTTGGCTATGAGTGGGAGGCCCAGCCAGGAAGGGGAGGAAGCCTTTTACAAAAGGCTTTAGGGACGTCTTGTGCTTTTAGGGATGGAAACATAAGGTCCTCAACTGTAGCTTCTGGGAGGACTGCTTGTTCTTCCTTGTCCCTCTCTGGGCCATGATGCTGGCTTCCTGCTGGGCCTGGCAGTGGACAGACTCAGCCAGGGAGGGGGAGGCCAAGTGGCCCGGTTCAGGGTGCCCATTCTGGAACCTTCTCAGTCTAAGGAAGTGGGGGGCAAGAGGGCCCAGGCATGGCACAGCGTACTAGAGGGACTCTGCACACTCCCAGGCCTCTCCTGGGTCTGCAGTGGGTCTGGCTGGGCAGAGGCCGCCCCTGCATTTCTCCTCTCTTGATGAATAATTTTGCTACTTTGTGAGAGGCTGTGATGCTGTCCCAGTGGTTACTGCCGCCCACTGGAACTGTTTGGGGCCACATAAATGGTTTCCAGGGCTGGAGGAACTGCACATCCCGGCCCGTGGTGTGCGGGGGTGTGTGAGGACGTCTGGGAGGATGGGAGGCCGGCTGCTGGCCATTCTTCTGGCTTTGGCCGCAGTGCCCAGGGCCCAGGCGATGTGGCTGGGGAGACTGGACCCTAAGCAGGTGGCACTCTGTGGGACAGAATATTCCAGGTGTAAGGAAGTAGGGGAGATGGGATGAGCACAGCACACTACCAGTGCTCCTCTCAGCTCTGACCTGACTGCCCTCATGCAGCTTCTCGGGCCCTGGTATGTCCTTGCTGTGGCCTCCCATGAGAGGGGCTTTGCTGTGGAGAAGGATGTGAAGGACATCGAGGGGGTTATGGTGACACTCACTCCAGAGAACAACCTGAAGCTACTGTCCTCTCGGCACGGGTGAGCGAGGTGGTGCCCATGTGCTGGGTGCTGCAGGCCTTCCCTTGCGGGGCCTGCGGCCATGGACTCCATAGGCCTAGTCCCAAGGCCCTGTGGATTCTGCAGGCCAGTCCCTGCTGCCGCTGTGGCCCTTGTGGCTCCTGAAGCCCTGGGTTCTGCTCTGCCCCACTGGTCCTCAGCCCTGCTACTCCTGTCTGTGGGCCTGACACTCTGGGCCTGGTTGGCCTCTGGGTAAGATTCACACCTTCAACCTCATGGCTGGTGCAGCTTCCGGCCATCCTGCCTGTGTGTTCTTGTCCTTGGTCACCCTGGCTGTGGGCTCCTTGTTGAAAGATATTCCTTAGAGTGGACTCATGACCTGGGGCCCGAGAACCTCTGATTCTTCCATAGCATAATCCTTGAAGAACATGGGCTTTGAGGCCATTTGCCAGAGCGGCCTTGTGGTATCAGGCCAGCCCTGACCAGCACAGTCAGAGTGTGTGTTCGCCCCAGCAGACCACATGCATGGCCGGCAGGTGCTGGAGAGGGTGAGAGAGGCTGCGCTGTCAGGGTGCCATGCTGGGGTGTGGGTATTGGTATTTGCCCCCTTCCCAGGGGAGCAGGCCTGGTGAGCATTCACCCCAGTAGGCTGGGTCCACAGTGTGGTCTGAATTACCAACCCAGGCACGAGGAGAGCCTTCCCATTCTCCTGAGGTCACCTGCCTGGGCCAGCCTGGCCACAGCATAAGCAGGGACAGAGGTCTGGGTTAAGGCGTCAGCTTTTATGCGCTGTCCTGGTTCACTTTCCATGTGCATTGGCACCAGCCTCTTCTGTTGAGCAAACACTTGCACTTTTGCTGGGTTTGTTCAGTTTGTGGACTGATGGTTCCAGGGACACCAGGCTCTGCTCCCAGAATCATAGCCACCTTCCGCCCTCTGGGGGCTCCTTCCGTGTCCTTCATTCCTTGTGGAAAGCCGGCAGGAGTGAGGGGCTGCCCAGGCCTCCTGTGTCACCCTGCTCTTCTGGATGGGCTCGGACTGGCCTGGGACAGGTTTCTGGGGCACCTGGGGTGGCTCCTCGCACGATGTCTGGAGCCCCCTTGACCCTGAGCTGGGGATACTTTTCTTTCACAGGCTGCAGGGATGCAACCAGAATGTGGTGGAGCTGCTGAGACGAAGCTCGGGATGGGTGTTTGAGAACCCGAGTAAGTGCCGGCCACAGGCGCCTCCCTGGACAGTGCATCCCCGAAGTGCCTCAGGACCCTGTGCACAGTGCTCAGACGATGTCTGTTGCTGCCTCACAGAACTGCACAGGTCCCGGTGTCTGACCAGGGGCTGCCCACACCCATGAAGACAGGGCTGGGCCTGCGTGACCTGGCTGTCCTCATGACAGGACAGGCTTGTCCTTATATTTGTTAGTCTTGGAGTCTCTGTATAGGGTCTCCCCAGTCTGATGGCCCTCACCCTACCCTGGTCCTCTGTGGCTACCCTATGTGTGGGGCGGGTGTCTTCCAGCCCTGGGCGTGTTGGAGTACCGTGTGCTGGGCACGAACTTCAGAGACTACGCTGTGGTCTTCACCCAGCTGGAGTTTGGGGAAGAGGCCTTCAGCACCGTGGAGCTGTACAGTGAGTAGCAGCGGGGGCCTCTTGGGCAAGCTCCCACTACCTGGAGTTGCTGCACCAAGGGCATCTTGAGAGGGGCCTCTGTTCTCCTCCCCAGCCCTCCGTCTGGCCTTCTCCCTGCACCCTCTCTGGCCCCTGCCCATACCTCCTCTCTGGCCCTCAGAGCCTGCTGGCCCCTGCCTGCAGGTCGGACTGAGACGGCCAGCCAGGAGGCCTTGGGGCTGTTCTCCAAGTGGAGTGAGGGCTTGGGCTTCCTGTCTCAGCAGCAGGCCCAGCTGCATAAGGACCGTGAGTGTCCCTGGAGTGGCCACAGGGGTGGCTTGGGGTGTGATGGGCAGCACAGACCTGGGGCCAGGTCCTGGCCTCTGCTGGTCTTGGCCACTGTTGCAGCCTCAGGGCTTAGGCAGGGCTGAGGCTGTGGGGCCAGTCCCCATCCCAGGTGAGGCTCGAGGGAGGAGATGGGGCACTGGGTGCCCCTAAGCCCACAGCCTATCTTGCCTCCCCATCTAGTCACCTGTGCACAAAAGATCCTCCAGGTAAGCCACCATCCAGACTACCTTGGCTCCCAGCAAGCCAGGAGGGGCTGCCCCATACCCCGGAGGGTGGGAAGACCCCTTACTGCACCTAGCAGGGCTGTGGGCATGGGGGGTCTCTGGTGAACCAGGGTTCCTATACACTTCTCTTGGTTTCCAGTGAAGGCTGTGGCCCCACGAGGACAGTGCTACCAGGCCCTAGTAGAGGCTGGTCAGGGGCTGCCCTCAATCCAGATCGGAATAAAGTGATTCCACCAGCAAACCCACCCATGTCTCAAGTATGAGCGATGCCCACAGGCTGTCAGAGGGGCTGGATGGAGCATTGCCCTCTTGGGGCTCTGAGCCATGCAGAGGGATGTCACCAAGGGCCAAACAACTGGACCTGGGGCCATCCTGGCATGAGAGGCATGAGAGGCCTGCACCTGACCCCTCTCCAGAGTCCCTCTGGGCCTGGGGCACCCAAACTCCAGCCCCAGTGTGAGGTGGGGGCTAGTCTGGGGACATGGCTGGCTGAAGCTGCTTCCCCCAGTGGGACCTAA